GCCCGTTCCCGATGAGGTGATAACGGACATGACGAAACGTCTGGAACATCCAAACCCGCAGAAGAACTCGTGGGAGATACAAAGCATCACACTCAACACCCAGGACGGTGTTTCCAAATGTGACCTGTAAGATCCCTGAGAAACGGTTCCGAACACCCATGACTCAAATCAAAAAGTGTCTATCTTACCTCTGTGTGTGGTTTATTCCTAGCCAGAGAGTGATGGAGTTGATCTCTTTGGCTCTCTGCAACCCACTAAACCCATTGGAAGATGACACTGAACAAAAGGTGATGCTCAAACACGCGATAACGGACTTGGAAAGGTGCCGCTGCAAGTTGTGGATCACTTCTGGTGCTTTTGTCTTGTTGCAGGAAGCCGATCGTATAAAGTGTGCCACCAGTGTGGTCCATCAGGCTGACCAGGCCTGTCGGCGCCTGATAACTGAAGCCATGAAGTCAGCCAGAGGTTGGTCGTCAGCTTCATTCATTTGTTATTTAATATTTTGTCACATAGCACCCGCTGTAATGATGTCTTTTCCAATTTCTGCGTTAGAAAATCAAGTCCCCTCTGAACAGATGAGGTCTTTGGCTGCTGAATTGAATGAGTCCAAAGTGACGTTTCTCAACAACCTGCGGAGACAGGTCCTTCAGGAGGCGCCTTTCCTTTCAGAGGAGGACATCGATGTGGAGCATGTGGTGAAAAGAGCCGTTTGGGTTTTTGATGACGGCAAGAACGAAATCCTAACACGATTTATAAAGAGGACTTAACAATTTGAATCACTTTAAATGTTTTTTAAATCAGTAATATATTGCACTATTTGTGTTTTTTACCAATGAAAACCTTTTGTTGGAAAACTCATTTTTATCAAAATTCATCTAAAACATCTTCATGTGTTTTGCTTATATGAAACAATGTGAAGGAAAACCGTTCATCCAAATGCTCCGTTTACAATCACATGACCAAGTCCAGACCGACGAAGTTCAAATGAAAAAAGAAAAGCTGCTAGCATTAGTTCCCTTCACATGCAACAGTTTGAGGGTAACACCACATTTCTGGAGGGGTCTCGACATGAACTTCCAAACAAGAGGCTACTTTGAATTCCACTTGAAAAACTTTGTATTATAAAATTAACATTAAGACATGTTGCAAATATTGGTTCAAATGTATTTTAAGCATAGAAATCAGTACCACAAACAGGAAGAGACTGTTGAATTACTGAGGTATAGGTAAATATAAAAACAGCAATCAAGAATTCAGTTATTCCGTATGGAGAAAAATGGCTGTCTGCTGTTATGGAGCATCTCACTGAGAAGAAAGAGTGTATTTGTAGTTTAATAGCTACATAATGTGGGCTGGAATATCAGATAGTAAATAATGTTATGTTTTTTTTTTACTCATATATACCAAATGACATGAAAGTTAATTAATTTAGAGAGATATAACATCATATTGGAGAGAAAGGCTGAAATCACACTGACATTCCAAACACAACTAGATGCCCCAGCATCACACTCCACCCTAAAAAAGGGTAATCTGAAAGATTACCAAACATGACAGAGGTTCTGAAAATTAAAGCTGCATGATATATATCTTTGTGAGAATACAGAACACTGAAGAAAGAAACAAAACAACTCAATATATTGCCCTTACTATAAAATTTTAGAACTTGTTTTTACAGTTTCCTGTTGTGCTACTGGGTTATTTTATTTTAAAGTGATATTAGAAATTAGCAGCTAAGACGTCCTCCAATGAGAGGATTTTTCAAAATGGAAATCACGACATCCCCCACTCACACACTCCTTGTGTGAAGCAGCCATAAATCTTTAAAGTTATTTAAAACCATGTGTCCAAAAAGGGTAAAAATTGCATTAAAACGATGGCTAAAATGTCTCGGGGGTCTGCGTGTTGTACTGCCATGCACTTGCTTAGAATAGACAAACTGATTAGATCACTGGCTTTCGAGAGAAGACTGAATCTTACTGTTGGTAAGTGGAAGGTGTAGAGAAATTTACTTGGTCTCAATCTGCAAGTTTGTCACTAGATGTAACCAAATCCAACAGATGCCGCTTCTAAAGCTTCTTTTCTGTGACTTATAGCTACAGATTGTGTCAGTGGCCAGGCACATTGATAATGACCCTTATCGGTCGGTCTAGAATCTCCTCAGCCAATTGCTAACATGGCACCATGCAATAAGAAAATTAAACAAATATTTTTAAGGGCTCTGTCATTCACCAATCTATAGCTTTTAGATGTCTCAGTCGCATATACGTCACTAAGAATCACGTTTTATGTTGGCCACGTGCGAAATGGCACGCAAAATCATATTTGTCGTTGCACATGTGTCCGCAGATGTTGCACTGCAGTGGCTGTTCGTAGCCATGGCAGCCCATGTGAATAGTGTACAGTATATTATCGGAGAAGGAAATGTCACAGTGCTGGCACTTGTGCAGCTGCCGCCGGTCCGGCGCGGTCAGGGGGAGCGCGGGCGTGCCCGGCCGGCTGCGGCCAGCACCGCCGTTTAAAGCGTTCCCGGTGCTCTCCAGGGCGAAGCCGGGGACGGGGCTGCAGCCCCCCTGGCCCGAGCAGGGCGACTCCTCTTTGGGAGGCGACGTCTGGACTCCGTTGGAACACACGGCCACCAGCTCAGTGGAGACGCGCTGGATGAGGATCGGTTTCTCGTCCTTTACCGACTCCCTGCCGGGGGAAACGGGGGTCTGAGACTCGGGGTGAAGGCCGGACAACTGGCCGGCAAGAGTAGAGAGCTGGTCCAGAGGGTTTTTAAATGTGAAACCATTAGCAACGCTCCCGTGGCTTTCAATCTCACCGAGCTCGGGGGGGGCCCCTATACCCATTGATGTTCAGAGGGTGGATCTTTTGGGACGAGTCATTCGCGCAATCAGACTTCGGCACCGCCACGGCCGGAGGGTTGAAATTGATGAGGAGGCGGCGGCCGAAGCCCAGCGCGCCCGTCCTCTTCTGCAGGGCGCCCAGGATTCTCTTATTGGCGAAGGGAGAGCGGACGGGCCGGGCGGGCAGCAGCTTGTGGCGGCGGCGGCGGTGGTGAGAGAGGTTGCTGCGGTCGCTGCACCTGAAGGCGCACAGGTCGCACTTGTACGGCTTCTCCCCCGTGTGGGAGCGCACGTGGGCCTCCAAGTGGCGCTCGTATGCGGACGCAAACGGACACAGCTGGCAGCGGTGGGGCTTCTCTCCTGGGCGAGAAAGGGGGAGAAACAGCAAATCTACCAAGTCCGCTCAACAGTGAAAACATATACTGTGTAAATACATTTTACACGGGCTTCACAATAGATTAATCTACATGACATTGACAAAAAAAAAAAAAAGACCAAATGTATGTGTTGGTGCCATTTTCTATGGAGTAATTTATGCTCATGTTTAGTT